TCCCTAGCAAGCCTTCCAGAACATTCTTAAACTTTTTAGCATAAAACCCTTTATCACACACCTCTGCATGCTTTCTTCAGGCCCTTCAGCCTCATTAATTTTTCTTGTAGCTTCTTGAATTCTCACATTTCTGTCTCTGGTCAAATATCTGATGTGCAATAAGGGCAGAAAGTCCAAGAACCCTGGGATCTTTTTCCTTCCAAAAAAAACCATTATGTCCCTATCATTGTGAGAGACTGGGGACCCACTTTCTGTCTCAGCTCACAGAAAACCTGGTTGCGTGTTTCACAGTGGTCTAACCTCTTGTTCATGTGTGTTGGAATGACAGTGTTGTGATTCTTGAAGTTTCTGTGCTTGCCTCTATTGTAACGTGTCTGCTGAAATCTCTTCCACACAGGGAAAGAAAAAACAAAACACGCACAAGTTCTCTCTCCTTCCTGATCCTGGCTGAGAGCTTCTCAGTGTTGTTCCTCATGTTTCCCCAGCCAGTCTCCCTGTCACTAAGTGGATCCCATCAGTTATTAGATCTCAACATAAATTTCAGCCCTCTGCCCCTTCCCTCTTGACTTGTCATATTGTGTGGTATTGTGTTTGGTGATGTCTTTTAGTGTCTTCGGTATTGCCCCACAACCTGTATACTTCATGAAGACAGGAATTCCATCTGTTACACTCGCTATTTTATCTCTCCCACAACACAGCCTAAACGTAATAGTCTCTCTCTCTCTCTCTCTCTCTCTCTGTGTGTGTGTGTGTGTGTACCTTTAATTTCTGATCCTCCTGCATTACCTCCTGAGTATTGGGATTACAGGTGTGTACCATCACACCTGGTTTTTGCAGTGCTAGGGATCAGACCCAGGGCTTCCTGTATGCTAGGCAAGCACTCTACCAGTGGAGCCACATCTCAGCTCATAATCAGCTCTTAATAAATATTTTAAAGTGTGTAAAGAATTAATGAAGTCCCTAAGGCAGTCTGATGAGGAATGCAAGCATGTAAATATAATCATAACACAGCATGACAAAGACTGAGACAGAAACAGAGCAAGAAAAGCTGCTTATAGCTACAGAGACAGACATGTGCAGTGACTCCCAGACAGCCTGGGGGCTGTCTGAAGCAAAGTCTTTTTGAAGGCGGTGACACTTCAGTAGACTCTTATAGTGTATCAGGATTTTAGCAAGATGAGGCAGGTGGGTGCCAGGGTGCTCAGGAGTGTACCAGGTGCTCAGGAAGCTTGGCAGTGTGGATTAAGGGGTGTGGAGCCTGGCACCATCTACCTGAGCAAGAAGCTTATGTCACCACTCACTTATACAACCCTGAGTGTGTTCCATCTCCCTGTACCTGTTTCTTCACATATAAAAGTGATTTGGCCACAGTGCCCATCTCATAGAGTTATAGTAAAGACTAGAGGAGTAAATAATTCCTGTATAGTGGGTGTAGGGTAGAGCAGTCACATAGGCCAACTCTGATGAGAACCCAATGATCTGGATCATTTCACAAGCGTTTTTGACCATCCCCAGCTCACTGACTGAGTCCCTATGCTGTAGCCTCTAAGCTAGAGTAACATGGGGGATCCAGTAAATACAGTAGAGAGAATGGTTGCTGAGGGTGTGTGTTTGGGAGAAAAACTGTAGCTGGAGACATATTTTGCAGCTGTTTGAGAGCCACTAAAGAGCTCCCCACTACTGAAAAGAAGGCTTTGCAGGAGTCTGATAGGGGTGTGGGGGGCCAGAAACTGGTCTTGAGGCCCTAGGGACTGCCCCCACGGCCCCCCCTTTCTACTGAGAGCTCCCAAGGAGTGGCACCTCTCACATGGCTCATGTTTCCCTTGATCCTGCCGGCCTACCTGATTGTGGCCCTTGATTTAGCAGTTATTCCTTCAGCCTTTGATAGCTCCTTTAAATTTTGTGGTTCCTCCAACCTGACAGTGATGCTCTCCTCTGACACTTCTCCCTCCGATCAACAGAAAGAAATGCTTCTCTTTTGTTCTCAGGTAGCACTTCCTGAAGCATAGCTCTTGGGAAGGGATTTTCAGCTTAAATGTAACCAGAGCCTGCCTCCTATCTGATTGCCCTCCACCCATATTCTGGGAATGCCGACATACTGTCAGCCAGAAATACACCCTCCTCCAGAGTAGTGCCTGTTTTTCTCATCATGGAAATCCAAGAAGAGATGAAAGAGAGCATGTAGAGAGAGGGTACATCTTGTCAGCCTGGGATGACAATGGTGAGCAGAGCCTGCAGAGAAGAAATCAGTCTTCTCTAGCTGTTAGGTGGCCTACTTTCCAAGCAGATAGCTGCTCAAATGCTGTATTTATAAAATCTGCATCCCTGTTGGAAATTGCCCATATTGTATGTTTTTGTTAGGGGTTCTATTGCTGCAAGAAAACACCATGACCAAAAAGCAAGCTGGAGAGGAAAGGGTTTAAGTTGCTTATACTTCCCCATTGCTGTTCATCACCAAAGGAAGTCAGGACAGGAACAAAAACGGGGCTGGATACTGGAGGCAGGAGCTGATGGAGAAATGCTCTTTACTGGTTTGCTTCCCATGGCTTGCTCCGCCTGCTTCCCCCCCCCCCCCCCGTTTTTTTTCGAGACAGGGTTTCTCTGTGGCTTTGGAGGCTGTCCTGGAACTAGCTCTTGTAGACCAGGCTGATCTCGAAATCACAGAGATCTGCCTGCCTCTGCCTCCTGAATACTGGGATTAAAGATGTGCACCACCACCACCCAGCTTGTTTGGTTTTTCAAGACAGGGTTTGTCTGTGTAGCTTTGTAGACCAGGCTGGCCTTGAACTCACAGAGATCTGCCTGCCTCTGCCTCCCAAGTGCTGGAATTAAAGGCATATGCCACCACTGCACGGCTTAGTTTTTCTTTTTAAGAATTATCTGTTCCGGTCATTTGGATGATTTGGTCCTTTGGTGTCTAATTTATTTATTTATTTGTCTATTCTAGATTAATTCCCTATAAGATGTATAGTTGGTAAAGATTTTCTCCCATTCTAGAGGCTATCTCTTCACTGATTATTGTTTCATTTTCTGTGCAGAAATGTATTAAATTTCCTGCAATCTCATTCATAAATACTTGTAATTATTAAGACTCCTTGCTTGTGACTGCCTCTTAAAGTGTGTCCCCTAAGCATTCCACTAGCAGTTTCATCATTTCAGGGCTACTTTAAGGTCTTTGATCTATTTTGAAATGATTTTTGTTTAGGGTGATAGATAAAGATTGGGTGTGGAGAACCAGTTTCCCCAGCCCGCTTATTGAAAATTCTGGTTTAGCTCTAGTGTGTGTTTTTGGCACCTTTGTCAAGAATCAGGTGGCTGGCCACATATGATGGCGCATACCTTTGATCCCAGCACTTGGGAGGCAGAAGCAGGCAGATCTCTGAATTTCAGACCAGTCTGGTCTATAGAGTGAGTTCCAGAACAGCTAGGACTACACAGAGAAACCCTGTCTTGAGAGAAAATAAAGAGAATCAGGTGGTGTGTTTGGGTTTCTGTCAGGAATGCAGTATTCCGTCAGTGTGTGTTTGGGCCAGTACAGTGCTGCTCTTGTTGCTAAGGCTCTGCAGTGTCATCTGGATATAGCAATTCTGATACCTCTGGCATTGTTTGTTTTTTCTTCCCTCAGGAGTGCTTTGGCTACCCAGGGCCTATTAGGATCATTTTTCCTGTTTTTGCAAAGAATATTATTGGAAGTTTGATTGGGATTACATTGAATTTATAGATCATGTTAGACAATATAACCTTTTCCATGATATTAATTCTGACAATACATGAACATAGAAGTTCTTTCTTTCTTTTGTTTTTTTCTATCTTCTAGTGTCTTCTTTAATTTTTTTCCTTCAATGTTTTTATTGTAGAGATCTTATGCTTCATTGTTAGCAATTTTTATTTTTATTTTTAAGGCTACTGTGAGTAGAATTGTCCTATTTCTTTCTTAGCATGTTCATCATTGCCTTACCACAACTTTCTTTTAAATGTTTTTTCGAGACAGGGTTTCTCTGTGTAGCTTTGGAGCCTGTCCTGGAATTTGCTCTGTAGACCAGGCTAGCCTTGAACTCATAGAGATCTGCCTGTCTGCCTGTGTCTCTCAAGTGCTGGGATTAAAGGCGTGTGCCACCACTGCCTGGCAGCCTTAACACAATTTTTTAAATGTTGATTTTGTAGCTAATACTTTACTAAAAGTGTTATCAGATCTAAGAGTTTTCTGGCAGTCTTCAGGATCTTTTTTTTTTTTTTTTTTTTTTTTTTGAGACAGGGTCTTACTCTGTATCCCTGGCTGGCTTAGAACTCAGTATGTAGACCAGGCTGACCTCCAAGTCACAGAGATTCACCTGCCTCTGCTTCCCAAGTGCTGGGATTAAAGTGTGTGTGTCACAACACCTTGGCCAGGGTTTTATTTATGAGATTATATCATCTACAAAAAGGCCAATCTAACTTATTCCTTTCCTATTTATATCTAGTTTGTTTCTTTTTGAGGAGCCAATTACTATACTGAGTGAGTCCAGAGAGTGTAGATATCTTTGTCTCAATACTGATTTTAGAAGAAATACTTCCTGGTTTTCCCTGCTCAGTATAATGTTGTGTGTAGATTTATCACATATACAGCCTTTATTTTGTTGAGATATGATCCCTCTTTTCCTGCTTCTTCAGGGCTTTTTTTTTTTTTTTTCATGAAAAGATGTTGAATTTTGTTAAAGGCTTTTTTTTTATTTGTTGAGACAATCATGTGATTTTGTCCTTGATTCTACTTATTCTTATGCATATGTCTTTTGAGTTTGGTCCATAAAAATGTACAAGAAGTTTCTGTATTCTTTTTTGCAGCTGCAAAATTAGCCCTGTTTTCTTTTTGTAGACATTTGTTTTTCTCAAGTCTTTTTCATTTACAATTATGCTGCAGTGAACAACCTTGATACCTGTGCTGGTTTGCACTGGGCTAGTGTCCCATGAGGCTAGTGAGGATCATTGTATATCTGTCCTTTTCCCCAGGCCAAAGGATGAAGCGGCTCAGCGGGAACCGGAACTACAGAGAAGTGATGTTGGCCCTGACGGTGAGCATTGCTTCCTGGGAGGGAAAGCCTAGGACACGAACACACAGGCTTTACTCTTCCTAGGACCCCCCTCTGCCCACTCAAGTGGGCCTCCAGCATGTAGCCTGCATTACCATGGTTCAGCAGCATCTTCCAAGGGACCCATGGGGTCCCCTGCCCACCTCTGATGCAGGAGGTGAGAGTAAATGGGTTGGATGTATGCCAGCAGAAGATAAGATGTGGATGACATGGTTAGAAGAGCCGGAGGCCAGGCCAGGTCTCATTCCCGCTACCAGCCTGTTTGAGATGCTGGGAGTCAGTTTCCCGTTTATACAGATGTTCACCCTTGTCTGTCCAACACCTGCCCAGGATTGAGCTTTTAGAGTGTTGATGAGATGTTTACAACCACCTTCTAAAATAGGCTTATTACTCTTCTCACGAGGAAACTGAGCTCTGAGAGGCCTTTGAGTTTTACCTTTGCACCTAGTGAAGCACCAAGCTGTGGTGTGCCATCATAGAATGGTCTTTTGTTTGGGATAAAAACGAAAATAATAAAAGGGTCTTGAAAAAGTCAGCCTAGTGACTCCTTTCAGGGCAAACAGATAAGAATTGTGCCCTTCCTTAAGATACAGAGAACTAAAAAGGGTATTTCAGGTGCTATTTCTGTCTTGAAAGCTAACAATTTCTCAGATGCCTTAAAATCTGGGCCACAGTGACTTTTTATTAGAAACTGTAACAAGTCACCATGTCAACTTCTGTAGGTGGGGAAAGTGGGTTATTTATCCCAAACTGTCATATTTCCTTGTAAAGCAGAAGAACTATTGTGATATCCACCCCCCCAAATAAGGTCCAAAACATAATAGGAACACTCTCTCAGCCAGGATTAAGGTTTACATAACAAAGAAGAAAATGTCAGTTGAGAAATAGGTGAAAGCTTTAATTTTCTTTTTTTTTTTTTTAACCTCAATGTTGATGGATCCCAGAATGGAGCACAAATCATCATTTTTAGTGGCACACATCACAAATGCTCTGGCATATGTCCCTCTTTGTGATGGTTTCAAGGTAACCATCACTACAATGGCCCATTGTAGGTGGGAAGCTTTTTTGTTTTGTTTTGTTTTTTAAAACAGGGTTTCACAGGTTTCAAGACAGCTCTGACTGTCCTAGAAATCGCTTTGTAGACCAGGCTGGCCTCAAACTCGCAGAGATCTACCTGTCTCTGACTCCTGAGTACTGGGATTAAAGGTGTGCGCCACCATACCTGGCTGGTGGGAAACTTTTTAAAGACTATTTCCTTGCCTCCCTACACATTGCTTGGCAGCCATCATTTGGCCTTCCTGATGGCCAGGTCTTTTCTGCAAACCCCTTGGGAGGCCTGTGGACAGCAGAGCTGTTGGCCTTGTCCCTAAGTCCCTGCCTGGCACACTTGGCATGGTTTCGTGTTTGCCATGATGGCTTCATTTGTTAGTTGCTGTCAGCCCTGTTCCTTCCTTGTGGCCTCTCCCAGCTCACATCTGCCCCTTGCTTAGGCTGTTAGGACTTATCCAGTGGAGCCAGAGATCCTCAGGCCCTCTCTGCTGGAGCCTCCAGATGTGTGTTCCTAACATCTGCTTCTCATTGCTTGGAGGCCCCCTTTGTTTATTTCATGGGTTTTGGCTGTATCTCAGAAAGTTGCCACTGTGTTTCATTCCCAAAAACCCACAAAGTCAGGTTTGCCAAGAGCTTTTTTGGAAGGGTAGCCTGAAGTGGCCTTGACAAGAGAGGAATTCCTGTGCCTCCTACATGTAGAGGCTTTGGACCTCTGCAGGCACGTGTGCACAGGGTATTTTCCGAGGCTGGGATAGTACATACTGCCCTTAAGGTCTGCTGCAGGGGAGAACTGAAGGACAAAAGAGTGTCCTGTCCACGGTCTCCCTAGAAACAGAACCAAATGGGCCCAGAGCCTCAGCCTGTTCCTCTACTTCTCATTATTTTCACCCAAGCTAGCTTCCTGAGCCTCCTACTCTGCTGGTCCTCACCCGCCCCTAAAGAAAGAAGGGCTCAGTAGTCCAGTAGCCATTGCCAGAGTCCAGAGAATCAGTAGAGAATCCTAGCGAAAAAGGTACCTTGCAACATGCCTGGGGACAGAAAGAACATTTCTGGTTCCTCTTGGTTGTCCTTGTAGGTCCCAGAGAGTGAGAGCTTTTACCTCATGGTCACCCAGAATCAAACACAATCAGAGATGAAGAAAGGGAAATTCCCCTTATCTGAATAAAATTTGTGGTTGTGAGGCTGGAGAGATGGCTCAGCAGTTAAGAGCACCTGCTGCTCTTGGAGAGGACCTGGATTTGGTCCCCAGCACCCACATAATGGCTCACAACCATCTGTAACTCCAACTTCAGAGAATACAGTGTCTTTTTCCGATCCTCATGAGCACTGCACATACTTGGTGCACAGACATACAAGCAGGCAAAACACCCATCCATACACATGAGATTAAAAATAAGTAGCAGTTGTGCAAAAGCCCCAAAGATTATGAGTTTACAACACTTCCTGGGCGCACCAAGTAGAACATGAGCCTCCAGAAATACAGCAAGAAAAAGAAGGAAAGGATGACTTGGGGGTTGCAAAGCTGCTGGGTCTCCTAGGTGCAGTTCCACAACACTGCAGAGCTTCAGCCTTGACATCTCAAAATGGCTTGATGCCTTCTTCTAGAATTGGCTTAAGGAACAAGGGAAGGGCAGATAATCCAGAACACAGTTCTTGTTTCTGAGGGCCTCACAGCTGGTGTGACTGTGAGAAAGCGAATCATTGTTCCTGTCCTGGGCTGGGGATGTAGCTTTGTAGTGCTTGCCTGCCATGCACAAAGCACTGGGTTCAATCTCTAGCCTTGCAAAAGAAGGAAAAAAGAGTTTCCATCCTGCCTCTGGGTCAGTTTTTCCTTCCTAAGCCTCTTAACTTTGAAAACTAAGATGGAAAGGTGTACTTGAAGGGACCATTATAGTTGTGAGAGTAGAATGAAATTATATATAATATGGAGAAATCTCACTGTACTTGGCATGTAGCTGGCATGAAGTCTATAATTGTGAACCTTTTTGTCTGCACATTATCAAGGCAAAAGCCTATGGCAGGAACCACTTAGGGAGCAATTTAAGTTAATTCATGGTCACACAGGAACAGTGAGGTGGTTAGAAGTGTCCCCTGCTACTGGGCAATGGTGGTGCATGCCTTTAATCCCAGCACTTGGGAGGCAGAGACAGGTGGATCTCTGTGAGTTCGAAGCCAGTCTGCTCTACAGAGCAAGTTCCAGGACAGCTAAGGCTGTTAACACAGAGAAACCCTGTCTCGGGAGGGAAAAAAGTGTTCCATATTGCTGGCACTATCCTTGTAGGAGGCATTCATTAGCAGGCCATAAAGGAGGTGCCTTGGGAAGGGTCAGGTGATCTGGTGGGCTGTTTTCAGGAGGGACTGAGTCAGAGACTTGTGTTTGATGTTGGAGAGGCCCTCCTAGTACTCCCAGTACCTCTGCTGGGGACATGCAAGAAGTTATGGATACAGCAGCCTTCTGAAGTGGCAGCCTAGTGGTTGCTTACCCTGTGCAGGATGCTGAAGCAGTTGACATATGCCCTCCCTAATCCTCCCTGCAAGGGAGAGCTCATTGCTCCCACTTTCCAGACGAGGCCACAGACGCTGAGTGAAACTTCTCGCGGACCATCAGGAAGGAAGTAGAAAAGCTAAGTCTAACTCCCACTGCCACTGATCAGACCCTACCAGCCATCCTTTCAAAGCACCTAGGCCTATGGACCTCCCCAGATAAGAGATAATGAGCAGGGTCTCACTGAAGTAGGATGGAACTTAATACTGACTTGCAGCTGAGGTCCACATCTGTCAAGGGTTGCAATCCATTGTCAATGCTGATTTTATTGCAGAACAGGAGTATGTTAGGGATGTATATTTGCTTCCTCACACACAAGGGCCAGTAATTCACCAGGCAATTCGAGCTCTCCCAGCAGCTTCCTCTTGTGACAGAGCCTGTGTCTCCTTGGCTAAGATCTCACACCCAGTCCTAGAGAGAATAATTAAAATGTTAATTTTCAGGAACCTCTCAGTCATAATACCATTAGAAGACCAGTATCCTTCTCATGCAAAACCCATGTTTCAATTACCAACTAATTGCCTGAGTCCTGTGCAAGGACAGGAGCTTTTCAGTCAGCATAGGACTGTCGTTCTCAAGGAACTGGGATGACTGAATTAGTGTGGGGATGTGTGAGGGTTGGCTTAGAGGAAGATGATCTGGAAGCATGACTGAGGGTGAGGAACTCACCTATCCTACCCCCTTTCCCAATGTGGTGACCTCCTCCCCAATCCCCCACAACTTCAGGTGCTGGAGACTTGTGTGAAGAACTGTGGCCATCGCTTTCACCTCCTCGTGGCCAACCGAGACTTCATTGACAGCGTTCTGGTCAAAATTATCTCCCCCAAGAATAACCCTCCCACCATCGTCCAGGACAAAGTGCTTGCTCTAATTCAGGTGAGCCGGCTTCCCTCACCCAACTTGTTGGGTCTGTAAAATGGCAACATGCTCACGCTTTCCCATTATTTTGGAGGAAAAGATACAGATTGGGGGATTAAATATTTGTTACACAACTTATTTTCTTTATATTCACCTCACTGGAAATCCTAAACCGTGGCTCTCTTGCCAGTTGACAGAGTCTCCAGGAAGCTTCTGGGTGCCCGACCTTCTGTTGCCCAGACAAGTAGGCAGTAGAGGGGGCTTCAACGGGCCCTGAAATAATGGGATATAATGGAGGTGAGTGTAGAGTAGGAAGGGCCATCTTAGAGTCATGTACTGGGTGGGTGAAGTCACAGAGCAAGAGCCAGCTCTGCAGTGGAAATGATGTTAAGGGATGTTTCACTGAAGAGGTGACATTTCTGTTGGATCCTGAAAAGTAGCCGAGAGGGGGGGTCTGGGAGTTTGGTGGAAAGGCCAGAGTGTAGGAAGCATTTCAGGAAGGACATAGCTGTACAAAGGCCCAGAAGCATGGGAGAACAGTTATCCATACTTGAGATATACCCATTATATACTCTGTAACAAATCAGCCCAAGTCTAGCAGTTTAGAGAAAGAATGTTACCTTTTCCCTAGTTTCTGACGAGCAGGTACTCAGGTGCAGTCTGATTGGGAGATTATAAATGTACCCTCTGAAGGCATTACTGGGGCTGAGTATTCCACGTCCAAGATGGTGCCTTGCATGGCTGGTGGTGGGAAGCTTTAGTTTCTAGATGAGATCTGTGTTTGCCAACACAAAGAAGTCACACATCACATTTTCTGTCATTCTGTTTGTTGGAAAGGAGTCACCAGTTAAGCTTCAAGGATTAAAGGATGAAGTAGTGTGTGAGTATAATTTGAATATTGTCTTTGAAGAGCAGGTTGTAGTATAGAATGTCCAGGGCTGTACTTAAGGTGGGTAGATAAGCAGGAAGTGAGGCCAAAGGATGGGTAAGGCTTGTGGGTTGTGTGTACTGAGGGCTTTGGGTTTAGACCTTAGAGGTAATAGGGGAGCCATTGAAAGTTTCTGTTCTGGGTCGTACATAGATTTTAGACAAAGCACCCTACTGGCATGGCATCTGAATCCATGAGCATATCCAATATGGATGACTGTGCATGTCTGCAAGAGCCAGGAGGAGAGGGAGACCAAGTCAGAATGGGAGCATGACTCCAGTAGGAGCATGGCTCATAGCCTGGTTTAAAGGTCTGACAGACAAGCAGAGTAGCCAGGATATGGGCTCTGGGGCTGTAGGGTCATTATATATGAGGCTGGAGAGGTTGTGTATCTGTCTAGAGAGTTTTCCCATCTCCTAGAGCACCTGGCTCCTCCTAGTTGTTAGATGTGCCCTGGAGGGCTCCTAGCACCCATCCTGAAGCACACATCTGCTGTCTTGCTCATGTCCTCTTGTGATCTTCAAGTGCAGCTTTGTTATCTTTCTATTCGACTCCATTGGTTCCTTGAGAGCCCTGGAGTGCCGTGTCCTGAGGGACCAGTTGACGGTCAGCATTGAGTAGTATTTTTTTTTTTTCGATTAGTGGGTAAATGTAGCTCACTGAGGCTGAGAGAAAGGGCATGATGTCTCATCTTCCTTGAGAGTGGCCCCTGTGCTGTCATTCTGCATCTCCTCCCTCAGACCTGCAGTATAGTCCCCAGTTCCACGTCTACTCCCATAGCCTCTCCTGGGACTAGAGACTTCCAGGGAATAGGGGTAGCTTTTTCTTACAAAAGGCAGGATACCCCAGCTTAAACTCTTTATTCCTGGTCCGGTCTGTACAAAGTCCACACTGGTTACAGAAGTGGCAGGAGACATGTTCAGTGAGAGCTTGCTCATTCTGAGGCCTGGCCAGGCTCCGGGGTAAACAGAGGGCAGACAGAGCCCTTCACTGGCTGGGTCCCACAGTTCTCTGCCCCAGAGATGCCTGTTTCTTCAACATTACTTCTAACCTTGGGCTGGTGCAGTAGCTGCTGGGCATCCACCTTCCCTATAAAACGAGGGCTGGGTTTCTGCCTTCCTGTTCTTGGACATGTAGCACAGGCGTACACTAACCTAAGGTCCAATGGTGCGAGTCAGGTATAGTTTGTTAACCTTCCTCAGGTACGTGGCCGCTCTATATTGGAGTTGATGCCATGAGCCTGCAGTGTATGTCTTCGGGGAGCATATGCATTTGCTTTTATTAGGTATGTAATGAGTATGCGACATTGGCAGTTTCACCTCAAGCCATGACAGAAGGTGCTGGGTCAGGAGGTACCAGGACTTCTAACTGTTTCACACCTTACTAATATGCTATGTTCTGTCATTGCAGCCTATTTGATGAACTTGGGGAAGTATTTTACCATGTCATCTTTAGCCACTTGGAAAAAGATCGTCTTATATGTCTGTTGACTATTTAGATGACCCCCAAGTTCATGGGTTAACTGATCTCAGCCAGCCTTCATTGGAAACTATATGGAAGAAAAATTAGCTTCTGTACTGTACCAAGCATGCACTGGTCTTTCTCTTATCATTATTCCTTAAGCTATTCCTATACCATTGACACTTTATTGGTGGTATGAATAAACTCCTAAATTAAAAGTCTAGAGATTATTTAAAACATGCAAGACTAAATGCATATGCTGTGTGCAGTGTATCCATAGACGTTAGTATCCTAACAGATCCTGGAACCAATCCCTTGTAGATACTAGGAGCAACTAACTATCCTTTTAAAAACTGGACAGCAAGCCAGATGTTGTGGTACATACCTGTAATCTTAGCTGGGAGGTGGAATTGAGAGGATAAGGCTTTCAAGATCAGCCTTGGCTACATAGTATGTTTGAAGCTAGCCTGAGCTCTACATGAAACCCTGTGTCAAAACACTAACAATAACAAAACTGAACCAGCTTCCCAGAGAATGATAAGTCCCTCTGGGGGAGAATGTTTTACTCTCAGCATCATAAGAATGTAGGGTTAGGTGTGTAGCTAATTGGTCAAGCACTTCCTAGCACACATTAGGCTGTGGGTTCTATTTATCCCTGAAATAAATAGGATAGTTCCAGGCAAGGTAGTGCATGTCCTTAATCCTATCACCCAGGAGGCAGAGGCAGTCAGATCTCTATATGTTTGAGACCAACCTAGTCTACATAGAGTTCCAGGATAGAAGAGAGAGGTGGCAATCACTGTTTTTCTTGACAGCTGAGAGTAGGTAGTGGGTAAAAGGCACATCCTGCTGGATCGGAAAGTGGTTCTTCTAATAGCACAGCTGCCAGTACAATCCAGACCTTTCCTTCATGCTCGCTAGAGCCCATCTGCTTGGGAAGTGGGTCAGGCTGGTCCTGGCCTTGCCCTCAAGGAGACAGCAAGTTAGAGAGACTGAGGTTTGCAATCAGCTGGAGCCAAGGCCTAGCTAGGAAGTACTGGAGCTGGCCTTTGAATGCTGGGAATCACGGCGCGGGCTTAGCCCTAAGTATTCCATTCCAGAAAATCCCAAGAATGAATAGGGACTTGAAAAGTTTTGAAGTAAGGAGAAATACAGATAAGCGCCACCAGTTTCCTGCCCATGAAGCATGCTTCAGGCTGGGGGGAAGGGCACAACCACAGAGGGACACACCTGGGGGTCCATTTCCAGCTGCCAGCCTGAGCCAACTGCCTCTTACTTTACCTCAAAGATTGAAGCAGACTTACAGCTATTCCAGGAAGGAGGGGGGGCAGCTTTTCAGAAGTCTCTTGTGCCTATGGTGGAGTAGGTGAGAGAACTTGTTCTCTTATGTCCATCTGCCCTAACACACCATCTCCCAACCTTGCACTGGACTCACAGGCATGGTTGGCCTAGAATTGGCTATAGAAATGGCATTTCCAATAGCCTATGTTTGCCATCAGCAGCCCCCTGGGCCAACTGTGAACAAAATCCACTAGTTTGGTGCAGCTTAGTGTAGAGCACTAGCTTGGCACCCAGGGTTTCTCTGTGTAGCTTTGGAGCCTATCCTGGCACTCGCTCTGGAGACCAGGCTGGCCTCGAACTCACAGAGATCTGCCTGCCTCTGCCTCCGGAGTGCTGGGATTAAAGGCGTGCGCCACCAATGCCTGGCTCCTAGGGTCCATCTTTGAAAGACATACACATGCGCACACATAATCCAGTTGATGCCTTCCTCCTGTGCCCCATTATGTGAGAGTTAAAGTTATGTTCTAAGTTTAAATGACTGTGCTTAAGCGATTTATTAAACAAAACACCTCTAACCTGTAAGCCCCACTTGCCCAAGGACAGATAACTTCCTGGAATGCTGGGGGCTGCTGTTCATGTAAGATAACAAGCCATGTTCTATAAACAAGTTAGGTTGCCCCAACTGCACAGGATGTGTTTAATCCGTACAGGTGGGGGATACCTAGGCAGAAGTATGTCAGGGTGTATACTTGCCCCAATTGGATGAAGGCAGGAAGTGCATAGCCTTGTGGTATTTGCCTTTATAAGCCCACAACTAACATAATTCTTGGCCATTCTCTGGGAATCCTGGGTATGGGCCTGTCTGGTGTCCATCGTCCTTGCCAGTAATAACACTTGCTTCAAATTTGGTGTAAAATTGTGGTGGTCATCGTATTCTCACCCAGTGGGATTAACACTTACTGACCTCTAGTCATCCACAGACACTCCATATTCTAGCTTGCTTTCTGTTGTTATGATAAAACACTAACCAAAAGCAATTTAGGAAGGGGAGGGTTCATTTGGCTTACACTTCCATGTCAAAATCACTCACAGAGAGAAGTCAGGGCAGGAACTGAAACAGAAACCCGCCCTCAGGCATTGGTCTCTGGACTCCTGAGGACACCAAAACAAGACCATCTTCCAAGTTCCCATGATCCTTGTGTGAACCGTGGGTGGGCAGCATGATTCTCAGCTTATCTACCTGACCCAGGCCTGGGGGCTCGATGTACTCCCCTCACCAGATGCATCTGCTCCTCCCGATGGGGTGGGGTAAGACACATGGAAAGCAATAAAGCCAGGTTAGCAGCTTGCCAATGTCCCTGCCCTGAACCTTACCACAGCAGACTCCACTGTCCCCACCTTCTCTCCACTCCCTTGGCTATTCTTAATACTCACCTTTTATTCTCTCAGTCCCACCTGTAGAGAAGACAGAAGACTGCCCCCATCTGTGCCACCCCTTAGGCTTCCTAACCCTATTGTGAGGGACAGATATTAGGTCATCCAGATGCAATATCCTCAAGCTGCTCATGCCTTTGCCTCTCTCCATATGCCAACACCAAACTCTAAAAGTCCTCCCTTCCTTCCTTCTTGTGTTTTTGGGTTTTTTTTTTGTTTGTGTGTGTGTGTGTTGTTTTGAAACAAGGTTTCTCTGTGTAGTCCTGGCTGTCTCAGAACTCTCTGTAGACCAGGCTGGCCTTGAACTCAGAGATCCACCTGCCTCTGCCTCCCGAGTGCACAGATTAAAGGTGTGTGCCACCACACTCAGTTTAAAAGTCCTCTTTTTACTGAAGAAGATGACTGGTTGGGATGGAGAGGCAGTCTGGAAAGTTCTGAGAGATTGTGTTCTTTGACAGTGTCAGATGCCTGGTGGCACCTGTGATGCATGCTGACCACACTGCTTCAGATGAAGGCCTCTGGCAATTTTCTGGGTACCTTGTCCTCTGAGACCAGAAAGCCTATGCTGGAGGCCTGAGCAGAAGAGGAAAGAGCCTCCTTTTGCCCAGAGATATCCCAGGACCCATAGTTCAAATCAGTGCTTATCTCTTGCTCTGAAAGTTGCTGCTCAAAACCTTGGACAGAAAGTGGTCAGGTTATGTCTATAGTTTGGCACACAGAGTTAAACCACAAATTGACCTTTGTCTTCCCATTAGTCCCCCCTTTGCATCTTTCAGTCTCCAAATTCTGAAGCCACAGACAGGAAAAGAGGGAATTTACATAAAGATCTTGGCTTCTAGTGAAGTGGCTACCATGTCATTGGCTAAACAGCACTGGTGACAGAGAACCTGAGAAAATGCCCAAACTACTACTCCTAGAAGCCTGCTTCCTGATAAGGTGGTCATGTGGAAATCATCCTGCCTCTGCCCTCTCTACTGACCCTGCGTCTCAGTTCAGGGGTTTGGGGTGACCAAGACCCCCCAAAGCTAGCCTCAGCTCCCCTAAGGAGGATTCTTGGCTCAGCCTGCAGCAAGGCCCTACTTTATTGTGGACATGTTAGTCTGCTGACAGCCTCTATGGCCATCTCTCCTTTGTTCTCTCAAGTAGGAAAATAAGGGTGCTTAGTAACTGAGAACTCAATTATATTTAGCCTGACAGCTGTTGACCTAGTACCTTCCTTGTGCAAGGGCAAGACACCCGTGTGTACCTTTAAAGATGCCTGACCTAGTCAGGGAGATGAGAGCAGTTACTCAGGCATGTCCCTAGAAGATTCTGGAACATGTGACAGCTATAATTTCTCCCATCTCCATGTTCTCACAGATAACTGTTCCTTTAAAACATATCCCTCTTCCCTCCTCCCTGTTTGCCCCTCTGTTGGCATCAGACTCTTATTCAGGGGAGATTACTGTTGTGAACATATGCTTTGTTTTCAGCAGTCTGGCCCAGGCTGCCCAGGGGTCCTAGACAGGAGCTGGCACTGTGGCACGTGAGGATAGGGTTATTAACCAAGACTTTCTGTCTATAAATTAATGCCAACTCTGCTCTCCTTGCTACCAAGGAGAGTTTGTCTTGACAAAGCAGGACGTCACAGAAGCCCCCCAGGTCACCCTGGCCAGGGTGTGACTGAACCTGGGAAGTGGCAGAAGGGGTCAGGAAACCTTCATATCTTCTCTCTGCATACCACTCAGCATAGCAACTGTACATCCTTCCAGAATACAAACTATCTCTGTCTCCTGGTCCCGAGCCGAGCCACCTATCAGGCTTATATTCTTAGAGGGCAATTTTCTTACACGAAGAGAAGGACCCAGCTCCCTGTTACACCCAGGGCTGAACTCTTGGAAAAAGGAGAACCTGATCGGCCCAACTTAGGACATGTCCCAGTTCCCTGGAGCAGGCACAGCTCCTGAGTGTGTCTGAATCAGGGGAGGAGTCCTGAGGAGTGTCTCCTTAGAGAGATGGCATAGTTCTGTAACCTTTTTCCTCATCATCTCAAACTCAGGTATGGGTTGGAGCAAGGAAAGAGCAAGGAGGTCCCCAGAGCTATTTGTTTCTCCATGAAAACAGAGGCAGGAAGTGGCACAGGAAAAGCTACCAACTTCTCCCAGTGGGCTGAGTATAGTTTTAGACTCCTTAAGTTTTTTTATGTATTTTTTTCTATTTTTATTTATTTATTTTTGGTTTTTTGAAACAGGATTTGTCTGTGTAGGCCATCCTAGAACTAGCTCTGTAGACCAGTTGGCCTCCAACTCAGAGATCCACCTGCCTCTGCCTCCCAAGTACTGGATTACAGTTGTGTGCCCCCAAAGTTTATTTATTTGTATTATTTATTTTTATAGGGCTGGGCATAGAACCTGGGGCTGGTGTGTGCTAGGCAAGTGCTGTACAACCAGCCCCAGACTCTCAGGTTTGCTCTCTAAACTGAAAGCCTAGAATCACAAGACTCAGCTGGATTTTGATAGGGTGGGAATGGACTTCATGACACTAGAGGACTAGGACAGACCAAGGCAGTGAGACTGCATGGGCCTCCAGCTGGTCTCACTGACAGCCTCTGTAGGTACCTTCAGATGCAGAAGAAAGGATTGGCAGAGACAGGCTGTCCTGGTGCCGTGGTGGTGTAAAATCCCTGAGTATGCACAGTCAATAAATGCATCAAGGAGAGAACGCCAGGCTGACAGTGTTGTTTGTAGTGCGTGAGATGCATTGGATGTAATGGAGGAAGCTTCGGGGAAATGGCCTTTTAACTTCTACTGGCTCTGGTGGTTAGAGATAGAATTTCTGTGGCTGCCTCAGGATTAGTTGGAGCTTGTGGCTGAAGGCCATTAAATGCTGTGATGGTGACATACTCTAAAAGGTAGCATCTTCTCCTTTGGGTACAGAAAAGGGGGTGGCACTGGGAACCCTGTTTCTGAAGAGCCTGTTGCATAATTTCTGGGTTTGATTCTTTAGTAACTTCCAGAGAACAGTTTTGTTTTTTTTTTTCCCCGTTCAAAGGAATCTGCTGGTGGTAATTTCTATTTCATTTCTGTGTGTGAGCAAATATGTGTGGAAACTGTCAGCTGCACAACTTAATAGAAAATACCAGGTTGATACAGGACTCCTGGGAGGTGGGATAGTCCCAGCCACTGACCATGGTCTGGCTCCTGATGGACTCTTGTGCCCCTGGGCTGAAATCATTTCACCTGTTAGTGACAGGACTGGGCTGGGCAAGTTTTAGCACTGAGCGGTCTGAGGAAAACTGGATTCAGCCCTGATTTCTCATCACATATCAATTTTTCCTTTTCTTCCTGTTCAATTTGCCTACGGTCTTGCCTGTGTGTGGTGTGTGTGTGTGTGCACGCAAACACACACATTAGGCATTGAAAACTAACTCTTCCACTTCTTCAGTTCACCAGCTCTGGCAATTGATTTCCTTGAGATGAGACAAATGCCTGCATCATAGAGTACTCAAGGTACTTAGGTGTTATTTCTCTTCTGCTTCCCTAAGAAAGTACATGCCAAATTAAGTTTCATGAGTTTGTTCACATTCAGCTGTGTCATTGAAAGCCAGGGCTTCAACAGCTGTGTCGCAGCAATGATTGCAGCAGAATAGGATTTGCCAGCGTGCCTTGGTGCCTTGTGTGAGCATGTAGGACAGCACCCACCTCAGAGAGTGTTAGGTTGACTTTGCAGCACCTTGCCACCCATGGAAGGACTACCTCCACTTCCTGACAGGTCTTCCTGTATCCTCCCAGGCGTGGGCAGATGCCTTTAGGAGCAGTCCCGACCTCACTGGCGTTGTGCACATATATGAAGAACTGAAGAGGAAGGGAGTCGAATTTCCCATGGCAGACTTGGACGCTTTGTCTCCTATCCACACACCCCAGCGGGTAAGCTTCCAGCTAGTATTTTCTAGAAAGACTGCCTGCAGAACAGCCAAGCATTGAACCAGCCTTTTGCTGATGCCTTTGCATTATTCAGCTTGTCATGTGTTCTCAAAGCTCCGGGGCATTTCTTTTTCATAACAAGGGGGATGCAGATGGAGACAGCTGGGTGGCTGGTGATTAAGTGGCAGCAGTGTCTCTCCCAGTTTCACACTGACAGTGGAGGAATATGATAGAGGGTTCAGTTCAGTGGTTCTCATGGAAATGGCTGCTTTGGCTGAGCCATCCTGTAAGGGTCATTAGCACCTGCCTTACAGAAGACTGCAGAACATGTGTGAGAATCTCTCCTTATTTCCTGTGGAACTGAGGGTTGATGTTTATAGCAGAGGCACAGTACAGTGTATAAATCAAGTGGATAATTTTTTTTTTTTTTGCTTTTCATATGGTGCTGGAGATAGAACCTAGGGCCTCATGCATGCTAAGAACACATTCTATTACTAAGCCACATTCCAGCCCAATCAGAAGGATCTAAAAATGTATTTTAAGCCATGGGCGTTCAGCATCAGTCCAAGCATTCTTGAATTCTGTCAGCTTTGGGACTCAAAACCCAGAAAAGGCCTGTGTTCAAGCACCCTGAAGAACCTCTTTAAGTGCTGGCAGTGGCCAGAGTGGTTCTGTGTCTCAGGATTAGATGAATGCTGGCAGTGCCAATCCTGGTTCCTCTGGAAAGTTAGCTTCTGTACTGGCTATGAGGCAGCTCCCAATCTAGGGGGACAGAGGCAGGCTAGCCCAGTCTAAAGAGCACCAGTGACAGGTCACATGGCCTTACTGCTCTCCATCTGCCTGTCTCTCACATGGTGACCTCACAGATGGCAGTGTGCCTTACACATTAGTGTGAACACGTGCTAATGTTGGCGAGGATGTCTGAGATGCCTAACTGGGTAGAGGGCATCAAGAACCACATTTTCCAAAGCATTGTTCTTGTTATGATCCCCATAAACTGATTACTATGCTTTGTTGTATAAACATAACCTGTTTTGTTCTTCCATTAATGGCACAGAAGGAACAGTGTTATTGTACAAGAACATTCAGTAAATTGCACGATTGCTATTTATATTAGTCTCCTTATAAAGGCCACAATATAGTCTTGTGGTATCAAGTAAGGATTCATGATTAGCAATCTTAGTAAGTACTCAGATGTGGAGGTGGCCTTAATGACAGCCAGTGCCTGGAATGCTCCTAGCCTGCTTTCCATGGGGCCTTTTGGGTTGCATTGCTTGTCTGCAGCACATCCTTTAGCAGGGGCAGAGAACAGAAAGAAGAAGGAGGGAGGAAAGAAAGAGACAGTGGGGGCTCTGCTGACCTGATGGAGAGACTGACTGAGGTTCTGTGGATTCAAACTGAAAGCACCACCTTTTCGGGGCGGTATCAGGCTAAGCCACTTAGGCATCCAAGTGAACCAAAAAATACTGTTGTTGTCATGCCAGAGTGTCCCAGAAATGGATCCAGCTGCCACCATGCCCAAGTCCCAGTCGCAACCCAGGACAAGTGCCGGCACCTATCCCTCACCTCCTCCAGCTTCCTACTCTGCTCTGCAGGCCCCGGCTCTGAGTGTGACTGGCCCCATCACAGCCAATTCAGAACAGGTATTTGTGTGCTTCCAGGCCATAAGCAAGCTAGCCAACTGCCCCCTCGTACCTTTCCAGGGGACAGAAGTCTCCCTGTACTTCCAGGTGCTATGCTAGGTGTGGGGACACAAAGATGGGAGGGCCTGGTCCCTGGAGTAGACAGGTTGGAGGTCATTGTAGTAGTGTGTGGTCTTGCTGTGATAGGAAGCAGAGCTGAGCAGTGAGCCAGCGTTGAGCAGGGCATAGAAGGCAGCTGGGTCTATGGCACTGAGGGCTTGGGAGTGGGCCTAGGGTTTTGTCAGCTGAAGCCTGTGCGGGCAATGTCATCATTGATGAGGGTATCATTGACATATGCAGCACAGAGGAGTAGCATACCGGGGAACACTCAGTGGCCCATCTGCAGAGTAGGTTAGCATGTAGGCTGGGTGGGAAGATAGTGACAGAAAGCAAGTTCCAAAGCAAAGGAGCACAACTGAGCTGTGAGTAGACACTCACCACCCACAGAAGTGAGCATGGATCCATGAGATGTGCCAGCCATCACAGCTCATACTTAATCAATGAGGTCCCTGAAGGCAGCAGTTAGATAGGGAAGTCTTCCCGAAGCCTCTTCCTGTCTCAGTCCAGACACTGTCTGTTTGAGGGTTACTTCCTGATAAGCTAGAGCAATTTTACTAAACCTTATTTTTAGAGAAATTATGGAGACTGTTTTTAGTTGAATTTATAGAATTTCTATTAGTTAAAATTTTAGAATGGGTGAGACTTGGAAAAAAATTACTCAGTTTTTGTAGTTCCTATTTGTTGCAGTGCCATTACTGTGGAATCTTGTTAAAACATGGAAGGAAGGGGGTTCAGGCAGTTGCTTATAAAACAGCAGTGTTGTTCTAGGGCTCTGCCCTTCTGCCAATGCTAAGGAAAACATGTGGTGCAAGCAGAATGCAAGCATGGAGTCACACAGGCCTGGGTGTGAGCCACATTCTGCTGCTGCTCCATGTAAGGCTTCAGTAGAATGGCTAACTTCAGTCTGAGCAGGCAGCCAGGCCCTGACTTTAGAAGATGGTCCCATGTGGCCACCAAATACTGGGGCCTCTCTGATCCCCCTGCTGAAATGTGGAATCAGAGCTCTCCGTGGGATTTGGGTCACTGAATGCTGCCCCTCTTCACCCCCAGACCCAGAACCTTTCTAAAGGGGAGCTGTGGACAGAAAGTCTTGGCTCTAGGCCCTGCTCCATTGGGCAGAGCTCCAGAATTGCTCTGAGAGGAAGCAAAAAGTATTTCAAGATGGATGGTGCTGGAGGCCTTACATTGGCTCACTGCAGTGTAATGGGTGCCAAGGAAGGGCCCTTCAGCAGCTGGAATAGCCAAGAGGAAGTCCTGAGTGGGAAGAAGTGTAGGAACTCCGAGAACTGTGACACCTGCCCCAGGAGGAAAATGGAAGCTAAAGCAGGTAGTCCATTGTCCGACCTGGCCTACTTCAGAGCCCATCAGTGGTAGAAACTCCTTAACCAAGATGTTGAGGAGGCCCTGGGGCTACCCCCGCCCCCCTTCCCTGCAAGTGAGTCAGAGGCTGGCAAGGGTCTTTTGGAACCTGAACCATCTCCTAGGTGACTGATGAGAATCCTGTAGCAGAGGAGAGGCTGAGAGAGACTTGTGGATGTTTGTGTTCAGGCAAGCCAAGGAAAAGTGGAAAGGCCTTTCTAGGAGAGGGAGGTATGGATCTGGAATAGGTCTCCTGTAGGAAAAATACCCAGTCCATTCAGCTCTGGGATTCCCACAGGAATAGGCCATGCCTATGGCCAGCTGTATGCCTTAAATCAGGTGTACGAGGCACAACACAGGCCACACAGCAGCCTGTGAGGTGTGAGGTTATCACCCCCTTCCCATAGGTGAGGGGGTAAGCTTGCAAAGGGCTGATCCATCTCTGGACATTGGTGCTGCTGTAGCATCAGCTCCTCACTGAGTCTTCTAGGGCTCTGCACATATCTCAAGGCAGGTTGTAATTTTATCAGATGTGCATTGGTCTCCTGCCAGAAAAATGATGGCATTCCTATCAACTTTTACAGGCCTCACTGTGGGCAAAAAGATCCCTGTGGCTTCCACTAATGTCTTGAAAGACTTCAAGATCCCTGGAGGTAACCAAAAGCTCAGGCAGGACTGGAGGACGAAGGGAGTCAATGCACAGTACGCCAACTGCAAGAGAGGCTCAGGCTTTGTCGAAGCTGGGCAGGGTGGCAAGCTTTTAAGAGTTGGCTTCCACTCCTCTACTCTTTTCTTATCATAAGAATTCTGTGAGCACTGGCCAGCCTCCCTTAGGGTATGACACTGACAGGGACAGAATCTGTGAGCATGAGGGTCATGTAGAATAGGGACTCCACTCTAAAGGGATCTTGGAGCACCTACACTACCATACACTGCTATTAGAGAAGAAATAGAAGCCTATAGGTTAAAGGCCCATTTCAGGATCCTGTGGCAGGAATGCTGAGAGCACAGCTCCCTCCTGCCCCAGTGTCACTCACTGCACATTGTTAGTCGTGTGCTGTCATGGACAGGGAGGTGCCAACAGCACATTGTTAGTGACCAGGGCTCTAGTGAGCTGATTGCCCCGTGTAGTTCTCGCCATACTGCCAGCTCTCGACAGGCAGAGCAGGGAGATAAGAAGGCTACTTCTGTGGTCATGTTTGTGTTGAGCAAGGTGATCTCACAGTGGACAGGCTTGTCTCAGGCTGTGGGCTGGCTGGTTCTGATCCTGTGACTGACCTACCTTCTTCCTGCCTTCTCCTTGACCTGCAGATTGCTAGGCTGCGCAGTGAGCTGGACATTGTTCGGGGAAACACAAAAGTCATGTCTGAGATGTTAACAGAAATGGTCCCTGGGCAGGAGGATTCTTCTGATTTGGAACTTCTCCAGGTGAGGATGAGCTTAACTTAGAAGCGTGGGCTGGGTACCTGTCTGGGCCCTGGTAGGACCCTACTTGGGCACGCAAATGTGTTGACAAATCTGGTGACACCATGGTAGAGAGGGTGTAAGTCCATGCTGATTCATGCTCACCCTTACTTTTTGGAGATAAGCAGAGGCCAGTATCGCTCTCTGTATTTTAAAATTTTACTTTAATAACTTTTTCCTGACTATAAAGTACCTATCAAAGTAAAATAAATAAATAAATTTCCTTAGCTTTTAGTCATCTGCAATAAGTGGAGTTTATATTTTGATGTGTTTTCATTTAGGCTCTTAGTTGTGTTCATTTATTCTTACATTGAGTTGGAATCATGCTGTGTATATAATCTTGTCTGTGGCTTTGCTCCCTTGTTATTATGTCACAAACACCCTGGAATAAGAGTCCTTGGGCCATGCTGGGTAACTTCCAGCACTTGGGAGGCAGAGGCAGGTGAATCTCTGTGAGTTTGAGACCAGCCTGGTCTACAAGAGTGAGGCTATCCAGGACAGCCTCCAAAGCCACAGAGAAAACTTGTCTCGAATCCCTTCCCCCCCACAAAAAAAGAGTTCTTGGGCCTCGATGGCATAGAGAAGCCCTGCGAGGCTCTCATCCTAAAGTAGGAGATTCTGAGGTTGCTTTGGAGGCCCTGTTCTCAGCCTCACTTCCGGGACCACTCAGGCTGGGAGTAAACACTGTGGTTCCTGAGAAGCTGCTGTGCCGACCCCCTGCCTCTGCCTCTAGACACCATAGATGGTGATGCTGGAGATGAGTCATAGGGCCTGCATATTAGGCAAGTTACTCCCCGACTGAGCCACACCTCCAGCCCATCCTACATATCTTTACCACTGCAGGAAAAGGAAATAGGAGCAAGCCAGGCTAAAGTCTTACCCCTCAATTAGTTGAGAGCCCATGAGGCTCAGAGCCAGTGACAGAGCTCTACCACATTCGCCTGCAGTGACTCCTGCATAGAAAGTGTCAGCAGCACTGCTCTTCGGGGTAGTAGCCTTAGGGAAGGGTGGAGAAAGGATGCTGTGAACTATAAGTACCAGATTTCTCTTCTAAGAGGCAAGATGAATGAGTGGACAGACCAGGAGTCATACTGGCTTGATGACTTGACCTGAGTGCGTCATGATACACCTGCTACTACTACTGCTATTTCTGTCTGGCCGTCTTGTCTACCTGAGTGCTACATCTCCCACTTTGCAGTATGTACACACTGGCCACCTGGGAAACTAGGCTCTGATGGTCCTGCACTTCGGTAATATGCATGCCTAGTAGTTCTGCTACTTAGAGTTCCCACTCCTCACTCCAAGTCCTTAGTTCCTATGGGACAAGGCTGGGTAGAGACCTTCTCCTGGTCCTACACCAAGTACAGTCTGAGGGTCATAGACAATAGAAGATATGGCTCCTGCTCTAGGGAGCTCCCAGCGAAGTACAGGCGACAGATAAGGAAACTACTCTCCTCCAGGGGACCTGGATATCAGGCTGCCATTTAAGCTGAGATGAGTACCTTTGGCCTAGCCCAGTGTGAACACTGAGCATTCCCTCTCTGGTTCCCAGACTTCTTCCTGATACATGCAGCAAACCAGGGCCCTGGCTGGTCAGGTGGTAGCTGCTCGTTCCCTCTAATACACCACACCGGGCTCTACCCAAGCCTGCAGGAGTGCTCTGCTAGGTATCCCGTGGTGCACAAGAATCTGAGGCCAGTCCAGGATGATGTGGTGATGCTATGCTGGATCAGGGTTGGATTCCTTCTATGGGGTGGGGGCTGTTGCTCTGTACAGAACTGAAATCCTGACAGTAGGAGGTGGTTTGAACAACACCAAAATGGTTCCAGACAGCCAGAACAACAGACAGCTGTGTGTGTGTGTGTGTGTGTGTGTGTGTGTGTGTGTGTGTGGTTGTAGGGTATTTTGTTTGTTTGTTTAAACAAGCCCATCAGCCAAGAATAACAGAACCTAGTCTCCTGGCATCAGCTCAGTTTTCAAAAATAGGTTGCTTCCAATGACATTTTCCTTCATTCTGTTTTGTTCCAACTCAGAGCCTACTGGCCCCCACTGCTGTCATATAAATCAAACAGAAAAAGACCGTGTCTGGGTGCCTGCGGGAGGCTGTCATTTCAGTGTGGAAGAGGCAGGAATGGGTAGCTGTGTGAACAGACTCACTTTTTCTGGCTGGAGGCCACTGCCTTATGTCCCCCTTCTTCTGCCCCAGCAATCAGCAACCAGCAGGCAGTGGCTCCCACAGAATAGCAAGCCTTCCATATGGGAAAATGCCACTGTCCTATTGGAACATGGTGGGGTCAGAATCTGTCCCCAAGACTTCTTGGGGAAGATGGAAGACAGCCAGAATGCTAGAGGCAGAAGTAGACCAGAGCTCAGAATGCTGGCCAGGGCCCCAGAAATAAGCGTATTTGTCACCAGTCCAAATGTTCCTACCAACAGACACAAGCTGCTCTTGACACGAGTGTAGGGTGATGACTACAAGGTGTAGAGAGTGGGAGGAGAGGTAATTGAAGGTAGAGGCACAGGATGCACCTGTGGCTAATTGTACTTATGGGTGGTTGCATCCCAGTTGCTTCCTTCTTAGGGTCAAACTCTTCCAGGCTTGTCCTTCCACAACCCATGAGAGCAACAGGGAAACTTGTCTGAGGATTCCTGGGAAAATGGCTGTCTTTGAGGAAAGGCCAAGACCAGTAACACTTAGTGCTGTCAGCTTTGCTGGAGACCCCAAGGAGGAAAGATGCTGTCAGCTTTGCTGGAGACCCCAAGGAGGAAAGATGCTGGGAGAGGACTCTCAGCACCTCTGGCGAAGGGGGGGGGGAATGTAAGATCCTCCTCTTTCTGATTTGAGCAACATCTTCCAGACAGCTCGTCTAACTCAGCACCTATGCCCAGATTTCCTACAGTCTTGGATCACTTTTTCTTCACATCCCAGTGACAAGCTGTTCCGGCTGTCATAAAAGCACTGTTCATTTCAAACAGGTATCGAAGTTGGCCTCTGTGCACAGCAGGGTAGAGTACACAACTTACAAATGACTGCATGCACATCTGGGAGACTCCAGGTGAGGCACAGGCCCTTTCTATGCCTGTATCTCCTTCCCTGATGCCTGGAGTAATTGCTTTCACTGTGGAAGTGACTGTCACAGGGCATGTCCTCTCTGTACAAGTCAGCTTCTGTAACCATTGTTGAAAAGCCGTTCTGCACATTGAACTCAGATCTGTTTCCTGTAGCTTTAAGTCAGTCTGTGTTAGACAAAGGCACAGAGAAAATCCCTTTCCCACATGGGTAGAGCCTTAAGTATCCATGGATTGCTGTAAAGCCTACAGCCTGTCCAAGGTCCATGCTGTTGACACCCCACTTGTATAGGAACCGGCAGCCTATCACAGGAAGCAGGTGTTGTCACCTGTTGTCTGTCATCCTGCAACTTCTTTTTGTTCTTTGTTTTGAGGCAGGGTCTTACCAGATAACCCTGGCTGGCCTGGAATACTCTATATAGATTAAGCTGGCCTCAAACCCACAGACATGCCTGATTCTGTTTCCCAAGTACTAGGACTAAGGGTGGGTGCCACCACTGGCATGCTGTGCCACCTTCATCCCAAATATACATTGCAGTGGGTTGAGCCCTGAGGTGCAAAGCTGTCATTGTCCTTCCTAAAGTACATGCCCTTAGCAGAAACTGTGTACATTTTACTGGGATTTAATCGAGCCTTTGAAGCTATCTTCAATTAATAATAACTTATGCAGTGATGGATATCATATAGGTCTTTATCAGATGAAAGAGAACCCCTTCTCTGTGCTGTTCATTTAAGTAGTTTGTGGCCATCCCCACTTGCTTCTTGCATTTTGTTTCAACAAAGAGTGGCCAAGATATTTTTGTCTGGAAAAGATCTAGCATATTCCAAATGTTTAGTTTCATGTGCTCCCTTTCTCACCGGTGGACCTTCCCTCCTTCCCTTCTCCTTTGCTGCTGCAACAGGACAAGAGTTCAGGACTGAATTCTCTGCTCCTTTGACTTGTAGAAGGTTTAGAGGATAAAGAGATGTTTTGTGAGGTAGGGATGAAACTGTCTCTTGAAGGGAAGATAACAGCATCAGGGTTAACTAGGCAGCGAAGAGCATATTTGATACAGTGTTCTGACTGATGGCAGGCATTTGCAGAAGTGACTGGATGCTGAGAACCAGAGATAGGAAGATGCCAAAGCAGAAGTCCTTGGCATTGAAGGAATTCCTGGCTCAGAGTCTGCAGAGTGGAAAGGGAGGCCTGCACAAGCTGCTGGTTTAAGGGCTGCTGGCCTGGAGGAGAGAGAATCAGTCATTCCTCTGCATAGTTTGGAATGGAGGGGCCCTGACATAGTTCCAACGGAACCTGCTGTGATGGCTGTGGATGACACCAAGGAGACTATGTGGACGGCCAGCTGGTGCAGCTGGGTGGCTGAAATGGAGCAAGGTTCTGCTCCATCTTTTTTTGCTTTTTAAAAATAATTAATTTTGTGGTGGGCAGTGGTGGTGAAGATCTGTAATCCCAGCGGATTTACAGGTGGATGCAGATGGATCTCTGAGTTTGAGGCCAGCCTGGGCTACAGAATGAGTTCTAGAACAGGTGCCAAGCTATGAAGAGAAACCCTGTCTCAACCGCCCCCCCCAAAAAAAAACAGATTAATTTTTTTATCTTTAATTATGTGTCTGTGTGGGGGTATGTGCATGTGAGTACACATGCCCATGGAGACCCAGGAGAGGACGTCAGTCACATCTTCTGGGAATATGTGGTTGTGAGCCATTCTATGGGTGTGCTAGGAACTGAACTCAGGTCCCCTGCAAGAGCAGTCCACATTTTTAACCACTGAGCCATCTTTCTAACCCAACCTTCTCTAAAGATTTATTTATTTTATTTTATGTGTATAAGTGTTTTTACCTGCATGTCTGTCTGTGTCTTGTGTGTGTGCCTGGTGCCAGAAGAGGTCAGGAGTGGGCATCATATCCCCTGGGACTGGAGTTACAGGCAGTTGTGAGCCATAAATGAATGTACATTGTACTTTAGAATTAGAAAGCTGCACCACTGATTAATAACACATGAATTTTAGATTGTTAATATAGTCTTTGAAATAATTTAATTTTACATATATGGGATTTTATCTCTTTTTTCACCCCTTTTTTGAGACAGTGATTTGAAAGTTGAAGTCGGGAGTTGTGCCGAGACCTTGAGTCAGAAGGCTGGGGGTGTGTAAGCTGTCTCTAGGCAGAGTGCTCATGACAGCCCTGGCGGCATCTTCCATCAGGGGCCTATGAGACTCTGAAAAGAGAGAGCCTTCTTTCCCAGCACCTAGAGAGAAGCAGCAAATGCCAGGCCAAAGCATTTGTTGGTGTTAGTGTATGTGCGTCACTGTCTGTGCATTTGGCTTTGTTCCTCAGAAGTCCTCTAGCACTTTCCTAATGGCTTTGAAAGTATTAGAACCCTTCCTCCGGACTGAATTCTTTAGAGTCTGGGATGCTGTGTGAGTCCTACTAAGGGATGGTCTGCCAGAGTCTCTAGAAAACATCCTGAGTGGGTAAGAGATAAATATGGGAGTTACAAGGCAAAGTCAACACTGTAACATGTAACATGTAAGCACACATGTTGATTATATGAATGCGAACCCATATGTATGTATTTTTTAAACATACCATTTTTATCTTATGTGTGTGAGTGTTTTGTCTGCATGTATTTGTATATACCATATGAATGCCAAAGGATTGTGAGCTGCCATACGAGTTCTGAGAACTGAACTCAGTTCCTCTACAAGAACAGCAAGTGCCCTTAACTGCTGAGTCACCTTTCCAGCACCTGTGTGTTTGTTCTTTAGACAGGGTATTTCTATGTAGCACTAGCTGTCCCTGGAACTTGCTATATAGAACATGCTGGCCTCAAATTCGGACAGATCTGCCTGCTTCTGCCTCCCGAGTGCTGTAAAGGCGTGTGCCATGCCTGGCACTTTGCTATATTTTTGAAAATTTGTATGGTGACACACTGAGGTGGGGAAACACCCTGAGGTCTCGAAGTGTAAGTAGGAGGGTAATGGAAAAGAAAGGGCATTGTTGGCAGAGGACCAGCTCCTCACAGTTCCTCAGCAGTGTGGTGAGTGTGTAAGGCCACCATCCTTGAAAGTCTAGGACCCTGAAGAGCTTTGGAACTCCTTACAACAACATGCCATGGCACTCCCCGACTTTCTAGTCTTCTACCTTGCCACTGGCCTACAGTTTGAATGAGAACTGACTGACTTTTCCCTTCTCTTTTCCTAACCAAAGACAGCCACAGATTGCCACTTAGCCATAAGCACTAGACTTTCCTCCCCTGGGCCTGTGTGGTGGGGTCTGCCATTGCTGGAGAGCCCGTTCCAGGGATCATACTCTCTTCTCCAAACCAAGGGTAGGAGCCAAGAGGAGGGGTCTGTTCAGAGAAACATCAGGAAGGTACAGACACTGGGCTTCTTTGTGTGGTGCCCAAGAAACTGATAGTGCTGTTCTGGTTGGACAGAGGATGACAGGTCCTACGAGGCGGCCAGATGCAGGGTGACGAGTCTCAGGTAAACACCAGACTTGTAGGCACTCAGCTACCTGAGTCCAGGTTTCTTATAGCTTGATAAATACAGCTGTGTTTGAGTGGTTCCAGGCTGATCCACTTGGGCTAGGCCTTGTTCCCTGGTGGGCACAATGGAGCCCTAAGACTGAGCACTATGAGAGGAAACAGCATAATTGGGCCTAGGACACACAAATCCCACACATAGCATCGAGAGCTGAAGCACTAGTAGTTAGTGGAGTGCTTTGCCTTGTCTGTTCATTTTCTTAGGAACATTGGAAAGTGTGTCAGTCTTGGTGCTGAGGAAATGGCAAGAGGGAACTTCTAGGCAGGACAGGGACGATGAGACAGAAAGAAGCAAAGATTGTGCCTGCTGACTAGCTCTGGTGTTCCTTAGACCCTCCTTCAGACTAAGGTACGGGGGGGGGGGGGGGCAGCTGTGAGAAAGGTAAGCCAGCTTTAGTGTCTTTGCCCTTAGCTGACTGGATTATTAGCTCCCCCCAGCGTCCAGGAGCAGTATTTCACTTCTGCCTTGGCCCTGGTGGCCCATACTGGGCTGGCTGAGGGGCCACCCTGACAAGCATGTTTTCTTGTCCCTTGTCTGTCATGCAAGATGGCAGGGGCCTAGCAGGTGCTTAAGGATCTCTGCAAACAAGAGCCTAGCTAGGAGTTTGCTCTAGGATGAGGTGGCTCCTATAACCAGTCTGTAAGGTACAGGGTCTGTCTTAAGGGACTTGCTTTGAAGGGTTGAGAGGGCTTCTGTGGTGGCTGAGGGTTGCAAGTATCATCTTTGGCCAATAGAGGGCTCTGTGAGAACTGTGGTGCCAGGTAACAAGGCTTGCCACTACAATGTACCTGATGTTGTAAAATACAGTTATGCCCTTGCTAGCAATGAAAGTAAATTTACTTTCTGCCTTTGTGGAGGGCCTTTTACTCCAATTACCAATCTATGTTCTGAATGTCACACTTTCACTTAGAGAGATATTCTGCTTCTGAGGAACTCATATTGTGTGTGGAAGTGCTTGCCCAAATATGTAAGAATGGGTATGAGTGCTAACTGCTGCATTTTGGGGTTGGCCAAAGGCGGAGATATCACAAGCCACATGTCCAACAATAACAGAGTAGTGAGCCCTGTGCAGTGTGACATGCATGAAAAAGAATGAGGTGATCTCTACAAAGTCGTAGACAAAGGAGCTGATTTTGTTGACAAGAAGAAGCAAGGCACACAGAATCATGTTTTTCTACATAAACAATGGTTTGTACTGGGCCCGAGAGAGAGCTCAGCAGCAGCAACACTGGCTGCTCTTGTAGAGGACTCGGGTTCGGTTACCAGCTCCCACACTGGGCAGTTCACAACTGCCTGTGATTCCAGTTCTAGGGGACCTGACACCATCTTCTGGCTCCATGAGCACCTGCAATTATGTGGTGCACATGCATACTCCCAGGTATACACACAAAATAAAAACCTTTTAAAATGATTTGTAGTTAGCCACTGAAGCCAGCTAACACCTGAGGTGCCAAGACAGTATATGGTGTGGCCTTAACTCTAGAGCTTGATGATTTAACTTTAGAACCAAAATTAAACACAGGTGCATACTTATGTGACAAGAAACAAAGCAAAATGGGCATCAGAGGATTTCAGCCACTCAGATTTGTTCTCAGTAGAATGTACTTTCTTGTAAAAGTGCACCAAAGCTTTCTTCTGTATGCGATGGGTTTAATTAGTTATTTTGTTTTTAGTGGGATTATAGGAATATGTCTGCTTGGATAACTTTATTAAATTGTATCTTTATAGATATCCCATAATGATTTTCAAATTTACTTATGTTAAAATATTTTTTTAAAAAATGACTTGTACCAACATGTACACACACACACACACACACACACACACAATCTACTGAAGGAGTCCTTGCTTACTCTGAGGCAGGAAAGGAGGGAGCTGTTACTTCACATTCTGCACACGTCTGGTTTTATGAACAAGCATGTACTTCTTCCATGACTTTCAAGAATCAGTACAAATCCTTTCAAAGGCAGGCGAATGTGAGAAAAGCATCCCCAGCAGGCTTTGCCAGAGGTGCATGTGTTTCCTAGGAGCTGAACAGGACCTGCCGGGCCATGCAGCACCGCATAGTGGAGCTCATCTCCCGAGTGTCCAATGAAGAGGTCACTGAGGAGCTGCTGCACGTCAACGATGACCTCAACAACGTCTTCCTCCGTTACGAGAGGTGGGGCCAGAGTCCTCTGGGGTCTTTTCCTTTAAAAAGATGATTGGCATATCAGAGGAATTTCATTCATAAACAAAGCGGAGAGAGGGAAACTGAGAGAGCCTGGGAGGTGGTCGAGGTGGAGAGTGCTCATCAGAGATGCTCATTTGTTCTTGGATGACAGAAAAAGCGCTCTTGTTCTCCAGAGAGCAGAACAGCAGGTAGCTGACTGCAGAATCCACCTCTGCTCTTTGTGAGTCCCAGGGAGGGCTGGGACAGGGCCTGCACCTGCTCCAGTGATGAGCCTTTGAATCTGAAAGGGACTGGGGGAGGGGACCCTTTACAAAAGAAAAGGATTTCCTCTTTCTTTCTAGTCTTGAAAAAAGAAAAAAAGATCTTTCCCTTTGTAAATGTCAGCACGTCTGGGGTATTGAGTGAAGTAGGCAGCGTGTGAACACTGCTTCTCTGGGGAAACACACAGTCCTTCAATTCTTCCTGCAGCCAAACCACTTAAAGTGACAAACTTGAACCTTCTTTTCTCTCTCCAAAGCCTCCCACAGGACAAAGTCAAAAGCATCTTTTCTGGACCTAGCTTTAAGTAGGTGGTGGCAAGAACAGCTCCCATCTGTACCCTGATTCGGGCAGTTCCCAGTTGGCCCAGGGTTATAACTTGCCTTGACTCTAGGCCAGCCTTCTCCATCAGAAGAGGCTGACAGCAGTGTGTCCCTTGGAATTTGTGGCCTACTCCCTCTGAAAACTGACAGCTTTCTGTATAGGTCTGTCAGGACAGACATCATTAGGAACAGACACTGTGTTCACACATGCTTTGGATGCTCAGATGGCCATACTGCGAATCACCCCTAGCGTTGGCTTAGCTCCTAACTAGCAGTAGGGATGAACAACACATAGATCTCCAGGAGTGCTGGCTTGCTAGCTGTGTGTCCAATTTGAGGACCCCAACACCTCCAGCCCATTGAGTCCATTCAAGACTTAACTGGAGATATATAGCAGGCACTAATGTGGGACTGTTGCCCGTAAGTCCACCAGTCTGCAGGTACAAAGACTTCAGAGGTACCATTGGAGTGTTACAGACCGCTGGTGAGAACCACACAAGTCTTTCTGGTTTCTTAGTTTATTGTTCAATTTATTTTGATGAGATTTTTGTTTTGTTTTGTTTTGTTTTTTTTTGAGGAGGTATAAATAATAGGGTCATAGCTGGGCAGTGGTGACGCACACCTTTAATCCCAGCACTCAGGAGGCAGAGGCAGGTGGATCTCTGTGAGTTTGAGGCCAACCTGGTCTACAAAGTGAGTTCCAGGACAACCTCCAAAGCCACAGAGAAACCTTGTCTCGAAACAAAACAAAACAAAACAAAACAAAACAAAAAAAGGAATAGGGTACCATACCCATGTGACCAGTCTTTCTTTTCATTTATTTATTTATCTATTTATTTATTTATTGAGCCAGGGTCTGTCTATGTAGCTATGGAGGTCCTGGAACTTGCTTTATAAATCAGGCTGGCCTCAAACTCAGAGACCCACCGGCCTCTGCCTCCCAAGTGGGATTAAAGGCATTTGCAACCACCACTGGGCTGTGATCGTTCTTAGAACTACAGTGGAAGCCAGATACCATGACATAGGTCTGTAATCCCAGCAAAGATGAGGTAGTTAGAGAAGAATCTTGAAGGAAACTTGGGCTACATAGTGAGTTCTAGGCCAGCCTGGGCAATCTAACAAGACTCTATCTCAAAGAAATAAAAATAAAAAATAAAGGCACAGTCTGTGAGCTGCCGTGGTTCACATAGGTCTGCCCACCTTCCTGAATCGAGATTGACTCAGAAAGATGCAACTTTTCCATTTTCTTCTTTTCTTTAGGGTGCTAGCCAAAGCCAGAATATACTTTCTCTGCTACTTTAGTGGTTTCACTTTTTATCTAAAATACCCCTCCCTGCCACACAATTCTTTGCTCTCTTAAGCCCCTCCTATGCATCTATAATAAACTCTCTAAAACTCAAGCAAATGCAAACCCTACAGTGTACACCTACTTAGACATACTGTTCCTTCTGGGATCCCATTGTCCCAGATGCTGGTAGACAGAGTTTCTGTTCCACCTGGTCCCGAAGCCTGTTAGTCCCAAATAAACACACAGAGGCTTATATTAATGATAAACTGTTTGGCCTATGGCTCAGGCATTTTATTAGCTAGCTTGCTCTCAATCATTAACGCATTTCTACTAAACTATGTATTGCCACGAGGCTGTGACTTACCCGTAATGCTCCAGTATGTCACTCCTTCCATGGCTACATGGCATCTCCCCATTGACCCACTCTCCAAGCTCTTCCTCCTAGCCTTCTCCTTGTGTGGTCAGCCCATCTATACTTCCTGCTTGGCTACATCCTGCCTGTTCATTGACCAAAACAGCTTTATTCATCAACCAATAAGAGAAACATATATTCACAGCATACAGAAGGACATCCTCCATCAGCTGCTGAAGACACCCAATGGGGGGGGTGGTTGACTGCCTGGAGCAGTGCCTTACTGCCTCTCTTCTCTGGTTTCCTGGGCTGTGGCTGGAGGAAGGTGACTGACTTCCTCTTCATCTGTGCCTTTGGCACTTTTAATAAACCCAGAACAGGATCTACTGTCCCCCATGGGCTCCTCACAACTTCTCCTACCGGGTGTAAGGATGACTCCTGGCAGAAATGATGTTTTTCTGCAGCTGCTCTCAGCTGAGCTCCATTTGTAGCCATCTGCTGGCTGGGTGTGGAGGAGAGTGTCTCTGGCAGGGCCTGCTCCATCTTGCCTTCCTGGCAGCCCTTAGGTAGTTGGCACAAACCATCTCATGGTTTCTGGCCAGGCCTTTCTCCAGGCACCCCGTCTCTTCCTGAGGTTGGGCTTGGGGCATTTTAGCCACAAGCTGATTAACCCCCAAGAAGAGGTCTATAGAGCAGAGAGAGGTCTGTACTTACTGCCAGACTTCATAAATGACCATGTGAAGACATAATGACCCAGTCACACCTCCAGGGACTGGAGGAGCATTGGGGCCAGGTGTATGAGAAGATGGCCAGGAATGCTTCTGGTGGGCTCCTCTAAGAACCAGCCAGTGCCCTGTCCCTGATGCCAGCTTAGTGGAACTAAATCTGTGAGACAGGAGCCCCATGTCAAGGAAAGCATGACAAAGTTGAGCATTGAGGTTCCCTCCACTAAGGGTACTGGCCAGTCCCCTGCCTCTGCTGAGTCCCATTGTTCTTCTCAGGACCATGAGCATGACCATTTGGGCCTCACTCACATTCTTCTTACATCTGCTCTCCTTTCCATTAGGTTCGAGAGGTACAGGTCCGGCCGATCTGTTCAGAATGCCAGCAATGGAGTAAGTGTCCTTTATACCTCCCTCGTCTTCTGAGTGGGCACCTACCCTACTCAGACCTCGCTTCTGGTTTCCTGACTGGGAGTAAATACAAATTCTTGGGTAACTGCAGAAAGAAGACATCCCACAGACATTAGTGAGTCACCATTCTAGTGACTTAGTTTACTCTATGTGAGAATGGAGAAGAGGCCAGGGCATGGGGCTCTCTGATAACCTGGACCCACCATGTACCCTTCACGTAGGAAAGGAGAGCCACCTTCCATTTAATGGACAGCTTTGATGCCTTTCCTTTCCTCATTAGTGTGTGCTGATCTCTGTCTGGGTAGCTGGAGCCTAACCCAGGGCTGACATCACTGTCAATCTCATATCCTCACAGGTACTGAGCGAAGTGACTGAAGACAACTTGATAGACCTGGGCCCTGGCTCCCCTGCTGTGGTGAGCCCCATGGTAGGGAGCACAGCACCCCCATCTTCTCTCTCCTCCCAACTCGCAGGCTTGGGTGAGTGTCCTAGAGTAAGGAAAGTCCTCTATCTTACAGGCCTCCTCATGGATATCTTTCTCTTTGTTAGACAGTCAGACAGACCCTTTGGAGCAGTCCACGTGAAGGGGTGGGTGTTCCTGAGTCTCAGCCAAATGCACCACCTTCTACTTATAATCTCTTTCCTAAGATTTAAAGTTAGACCCTTGTTGGAAAGTAGAAGTGGAGGAAGTTTTGAGGATGCAAATTGTTTACTTTCTAAAAGACAAGTAACCTGCCATGTTTTATCTGGAATATTCTTTGTGCTTGAAATGATTTATTTTCACTATTAACTAGGTTGAAGGTGGCAAATAGGTCTCACCCCACTGGCTTCTCAGAACACAGGTTTGAAAGACAGCTAAAGCCACCTTGTTCTAGTTTCAGTTCTGTTACTGTAATAAATACCCTGACAGAAAGCAAAGTTGGGAAGGTTTCTTTTGCCTACAATTCCAGGTTGCAGTCCATCACTGCAGGGTAGTCAAGGCAAGAGCTTGATGCAGCTAGTCACATCCACAGTCAAGAGCAGAGAGAACGGAAGCATGCTTGCTCATTTGTGCTCAGCCCCCCTCCCTGCATTTATAAAGTCCAGAACCCAAACCCAGGGAATGTTGCTGTTCAGGATGGGTGGGTTCTCCCATCTCCATTAATGCAATCAAAACAACCTTCCCACAAATGTGCTCACAGTCCCAGCCTGATCCAGAGAGTTCCTCATTGAGAATCTCATCTCAGGTGATTTTAGATTATGTGAAGTTGACAATTAAAGCTAATTATTACACATCGATCCCTAAAAGAAGAATCTGTGTTGGACTGGCAGTGTTTGCACAGGGCTAGGAAACAGAAAGTGGTGGCATGATATGTTTGCCTACCTCAAACTGTACCATCAGCCTAAAGTGTTCTCTTGTCTGCAATTTAGGAGAAACCCCTCACTTTTCCACAATGAAAATACGTGAATGACTTTGTATGTTTCATTTATACCAGGTTATACAAAATTAAGTTCTATTATTGGTATACCTAACCACCATAGCCTTCAGAATTCTTTCCTTTACCTTGATTTTATGTTTTTTTTTCCCAAATAATTCTATATTCATTTCACTCCAGTTGAATTAAACTTTTATTCAGTGGCCTGCCAGTTGTTATAATTCTGGTGTCTCAATTTCCTCAATAGCCATATATCCATAATAGAGTAGATGTCTTTGCCTTCAGTATATCTAACTGATGACATATATTTTTATATAAGTCATATATATGGCTTTAAAGTTTTTAATTACAATGATTTATTATTTATTTAGTGTGTGTGTGTGTGTGTGTGTGTGTGCACTTGTGTCACGGTGCACGTGTGGAATTCAAAGGACAACTTGTGGGAATTGGTTCTTTCTTTCCACCACATGGGTTTTAGGGATTGAACAGAAGTCTTCAGCCTTGGTTGCAAATCCCTTTACATGCTGAGCTACTCACTGGCCCTGTATTGGCCCTGGCTTTTTGAATAGCCAGCCTGGAACTCAGTATGTAGCCCAAGCTGGTTTCGAATTCATAGAAACCGTCCTGCCTCAGCCTCCCAAGTGCCAAGAGTTCAAATGTAAGCCACCATGCTAGGTTCAAGTCACCACATTTAATACCTAAAATTCAAAGTGGATTCTGCAACTTTCCTGGTGTTTTTCCATTTACTACTTTACCTCACTGGTCATCTCCTGTCTCCCTTTCTAGCCTTGCCTTTCACTCATCCCTCTCAAGGGCTAACACTTCCCGTAGCCTAGCTCTCCAAACCCTGCCTGGCCTTTGCCCATCTTCTCCCCCTTCTGCAGCACACCTCCACTCATCTTGAAGGACCCGCCCTGAGCCTCTCCCAACATCGAAAGCTAAACACTGCAAGGGTTTGGCCCTCCTAACTGTTCAGTTACACGTGAGCTCCTGAGGCCTGGGACCATGTTGACTCCAGCTGATGTACTTGAGCTCTGACTCTTGAGTGCCTATTAAGTAGCTTCCAGATTAAACACATGGCCCAGATCCTTAGACCTTGTTTCTGAGTAGATGTGTTGGGAACACCTGAAAAGGGTATGGTAACAAAGCTTCGGGCATGCTGACCCTTGTCCCAGTCTTCTCACTGCCAGCAGTCTCTTTTCTTTTCTGTCCAGGACATGGTTTTTCCCTCCTTGAGCAGTTTCAGATTTATGGGGCAAAACCTGTTTCCCACCTAGCTTGCCCTGGCTCTTATGTATGCTGTACTGGGAGTGCTGAGGATGGCCTTGAAACTCTACAGTGTCTAACTCACTAGACTATCATCCTGACTTTTGGGGCACTCCATTAAGAACCCATATTTGGGGCCAATGAGATGATGGCTCAGTAGATAAAGGTACTTTCTATGCAACCTGGATGACCTGAGTTGCATGCATAGAAACACACACACACACACACACACACACACACACACACAGAGAGAGAGAGAGAGAGAGAGACAGAGAGAGAGACAGAGAGATAGAGAGAGAGAGAGAGAGGGAGGGAGAGAGAGAGAATGATAATACAATATAATAATAAGACATTTTTACAAGGTTTTTTAAAAACCCACTTTTGTTCTTATCTGCTTCTTGTTTTGTTGTCACAGACTTGGGGACAGAAAGTGTCAGTGGCACCCTCAGTTCACTTCAACAGTGTAAGCCTCATGATGGTTTTGACATGTTTGCCCAGACCAGAGGGAACTCCTTGGCTGAACAGCGAAAGACGTATGTGGGGCTCTTTCCAGTGGCTTTCTGCAGATACTAGGGGGTGAGGGGTCATTGTCCTAGCCTGGTCACATTGAACAAAGACAATGGCTTTTCTTTACCATATTTAAGACTTCTAGAGTCAGTACTGGTGCACACCTTTAATCCCAGCACTCAGGAAGCAGAGGCAGACGGATCTCTATGAGTTTGAGGTCAGCACAGAGTGACTTCCAGGCCAGCTAGGGCTGTACAGAGAAACCCTGCCTCAAAAAACAAAACAAAACAAAAGACTGCTAGAAACATGTTAATTGCTAAAATTGAATGAGTGCCAGCCACATCTCCCATTCTCTTCTGCCCCTGGGTTGTCTGTTCTGTCAGTCATGGATTGTTTTGTCTTTCTTACAGCCCGCTCAGGGCTGAGTAGAAATCCTACTTCCCTGAATTGTCTGCCACACCTCAGACCCTGCCTCATTCTGCCCCTCCCGCACCATGGCAGAGACTTCTCCACAGCAGCTTGGGCAAAAAGAACCACACAGAAATGGGGGAGCTGATTCCAAAGCAGACAGCCCATGAGTCTGGGAATAGGGTATCATCCAGTTGGCACAGTGGAAAGGCTGATACTTGTAAAATAATTACTTGACCTTACGCAGCCTCTTCCTTTGAGAACTTCCAGGACACTTTTGACATCTTTCTCTTGGGCTTCAGTATTGTTACTCAAGGCAGGATCTTTGAAAAGTATGGTATCCCAGGCCCTAGAGGACTGACTCTAGTGGTGAGCTGGTGTCAAAACTGGTCTCCTCGCCTCATCTGCTGGCAAACAGACAGCAGGAGTCCTTAGCTTTTACCCCAGGCCAAGATCCCACCCGAGGCAGGTACCCTGCGATAGGAAAAGGTTACAGGTTACCACCACACCTCTGTATCCTCTGGGAGAGAACTCACTGGCACTGCTTCTCCCTAGGGTCACCTACGAGGATCCCCAGGCTGCTGGAGGACTCGCTTCTGCTCTAGACAATCGGAAACAGAACTCAGACATGGTAGGTCTTCAAGCCTGTTTTTTGTTTTGTTTTGTTTTGTTTTTTTGCTCATAGTCTTCTGGAGATAAAGACAGGCAGTTTAGTAAAGTTGGCTGAATAATTCAGCAGAAGTTGGCTTGTGTAGATGGCAGAGACAGCCTGGGGAGGGCACCACAGAGCACCTCTGGGTGGTGGGCAGTACACTGATAAAATGATGACCCTCACAAGGAAAGTAAATTCTGAACTAAGCCACCTGGCTGCGGCCTAGTGGTACCAGTGCTAGGGGAAGGAAGGCAGTTGAGGGTCAGGACTTGTTTTTGCAGGGCCTTGGAGAGTGTCCTGTGACACTCTGGGCTTGTAAAGAGTCGAGCCAGGAGTCAGAATGTTTGGAGACAAAGGGTGAAATCTGTGTGGGCCCCAAACCACAGCCAGTTTATGGAAGACTTCAGAAGGATTTGTGTGTTTAATACATTTTTGCAGATATTTCTCTTTTGAGCCCAACCAGGAAATGTATGGGAATGTATGCCTGTCTGCCTGGCAAGGAGGAAGAGGGCACTCAGGACCCCCTGGGCTGGAATGAAAGGGGACTGTGCCCACCCATCCACTGGACAAGGAAGGGCGGCCCTTTGTTTCCTGAACAACAGATCTTAGCCTCCTGTTGGCCTTATGCAAAGGGACTGGTGAGGGACAGTGCAACGGCTGCCTGGCATAATGGAAAAGCTTGGGCCTGAGGGTGGGAATGCCTTTTCTGAGCTGGTATATGTCCCTCTATACTGACTGCCAGGGGATGCTGCCTTGATCTCAGCACCCTGCCGTTACACAGCAGTGGCCTACAGTGACGCTCACATCTACAACAGTAGTCTCTGTTCTTTCCCCCATTACTTAGACTATCTTTGCATTGAACCTAACAAGGGAATTAAAGAGCTAGGCCAGGGGCCTGCCAGTGTACTGCCTAGTGAAGACAAGGATGACCCCTCCTCCTGGCTCACCGCAATCTGGAGCAGCCTTGTGCCCCAGCCAGGCTCTTTGCTCTCCTGAACCTAGGGAGCATGTGTCCTGCTCCAACTCATGCCATTATCAGTGCCCAGGCCTGGGTCCAAGTCCAGGAGACGTGGTCAACTTCTCACCCTTTGAATGCGTGGCTTGGCCTGGCTCCCTTTTTTCAAAGGTCTTGCTGATTTCAGCAGATTTACCAATGATAGTGGGCAGATTGCTGTTCCTGTTGTTACTGGGGCAAGGACTGGCCTCAGCAAGAAAGACTGGCAGGACATGGGATGGTCATACGTGTCTCTGTATGTGAACACATCTGCAGGCTGCCTTGACCCTTCATGGGCCATGCCGTCCTGGAACTGAGAACAAAGTAAGGAGAAAGTTGCGTAGCCACATCTCTGAAAGTAAGGTCCCACCTCTAGTTTTATGATTTGAAGAAGCAGGAGGTGGCTGACAGATGACTCACAGGTAAAGGCACTTACTGCCAAGCCTGAAGACTTGAGTGCCACCCTCAGAACCACACGGTGGTCAGAGAGAACTGACGCCTACACGTTGCCTTCTGACCTCCACCTGCATAGTGGCACGTATGTACCAATGTGCATGTGTATGTGCACATGCAAAATAAATACGTGTGTTTTAAAGCAGGAGGTCTGTGGGTGTAGCTCAACTGTCCAGTGTGCACAATGCTCTGGGATCAGCAGCAGCGCTGCAAATAAACAAACACAAAGATATAAGGCAATAAAGGAGGGTGGTGCACACCTTAGTCCCAGCACTCGGGAGGCAGAGGCAGGCGGATCTCCGAGGTGGAGGCCAGCCTGGTCTACAGAGTGAGTTCCAGGACAGTCAGGACTGTTACACTGAAAAATCCTGTCTTGAAAAACACAAAACAAAAGAAAAAATTAATTTAATTAAATAAATCTTTTTGAAAAGCTGGGTGTGGTGGCGCATGCCTTTGATCTCAGCACTAGGGAGGCAGAGGCAGGCAGATCTCTGAATTTGACCAGCCTGGTCTACAGAGAGAGTTCCAGGACAGCCAGGTCTGTTACACAGAGAAGCCCTATCTAGAAAAACCAAAACCAACCAAATAAACAAAAAAAAAAAAAAAAGAAGGCAATAAAGAATATGCTGGGCTCAGTATTCAAATCAAGAACTTAGGAAAAGATACATAGGCAACTAGAATGGAGGAAAAAAAGACAAAGAAAAAAGCAGGGTAAGTTAGAAAAAAATAGAAATAATTTTGCTCTATCAAGAGAATTAGGCCTTGGCCACTTCTCAGGCTTTCCGGAAGTCTCCAGGTGTTCAACATTTTGTTATCCAGCCTAGGGTCACAGATATTGGCTTTTCCTTCTCTTTTCCAGGCCAGGGGCATTGGGGGCATGCTAGGGCAAGTGGGAAGCATCAGCTCACATTTCCTTGTGTGAAGACCACCAAATCTGAACATTGACTTTTCTGTTCACAATATGTGCTGGGTGGTGTTGGCGCACACCTTTAATCCCAGCACTCAGGAGGTAGAGGCAGGTAGATCTCTGTGAGTTTCGAGGCCAGCCTTGTCTACAGACAGAGAAACCCTGTCTCAAAAAAAAAAAAAAAAAAAACCCACACACAAAATCTATTTACAATATGTGCTGTGACTTCCTGTTGTGGGTATTGCTGTGACTTTTCTTTTTGGGACTTTTCTGTCCTTGGCCCAGCAGAGTGGGAAAGGTGGGGACTGTGACCTGCAGCCCATAGACTGCTGGCTCATGACCCAA